TGAGCAGAGGGCCAAGCAGTGAGGACAGCATTTTAAAGAACGTTTTAATTTATCTCTGATTTTACTTATTAAGCACCTTGTATGATGCAAAGCCAAGCACCCTTCTCAGCAGTAGTCCTAAGTGAAAGCTGCAGCTTCTCCAGAAGTGCACGAAGCCACACAGGGCTGGCAGGGTGCGGGTTGCCTCACTTGTGCTGAGGGTACAGCAACTTCCCCAGAGAAATCCGTAGGAAGTGTCGTTTTGTTTCCAGGCCAACACCAGCAGTGGAAAGCCCAGGGTGAAGCAGGACAGGCAGTGATGCCGTTTGCAATTCAAACAACTCGAGATTGCCTCATTCACAGCCAGCGCTTCCTGGGCAAAGCCTTCACAGCTTCTTGCCCCTAACAACACAACCGTGCTAAATGTCTGCTCCAGGAGTGTAACTCAGAAGTTTGCTCTCCATCAACACTTCACAGGAACAATAAGGAGAAGTGATTCTGCTCCTTGCCAAACTCTGACAGGGCACGGAAATTCGCTCTCACACCACAGATCAAAGCTGCTCGGCTTTATGCAAAAATGGGACATTTGAGTTCCAACTGAACAGACTGAGGAGACTTGAATTAATGCAACACAGCCATCCTGAATAGAGAAGCCCATTATGTTCCAAGTCCCATGAGACCTTAGAGCCATCCTTTGCCTCTAATTCCCACTCTCCTTTCACAGACAGACCCATGCAGCCTCTAATGAGTAAAAAGGTGCCTTAGTTGTGACACAGTGAAACCTGCAGGATACACACCAAAAATCAGGTCAGGCAATGTGGAGGAAGTACCACAGCCTTCCTGTCTAACTGTCTCAGCACAGCAAAGAGTGAATTTGTGCTCAAAACCCGTTTGATTCCAAGTATCTTTACCACAGCCTCTGTTGTGCTCCTCCATTACAAAAAGAATTTCTTGGGATGTGCCCAGCACGGGAGGGTCCTGCCCTTGGAGGGATGGTGACACAGTGAATGCCACCTTCCTTCAGAGTCTGGGCACCAGCACACAGAAACCTCACTTCCTTTGGATCCTGTTTGTCCACTTGCAAAAGCAAGACATAAACCTGCTGCTAAACACCTTCAGAACACAGTAACTTAATGTCCATTACGCATGACTTTTCAGACCCTCATTTAATTGCTCAGAAAGCACTGTCTTAATCCCAGGTGAAGGGGAGAACCTGGAACATGGATCAGCGTGTTATTTATTACTGGTATTATGAGTCCCTTTGCAAAGCTTCAAAATGAACTCTTCCATCCCTGAATGGCTCTCCAGGGTCTCAGCAGTACAACTACTCTCAAGGGCTAAGCTATGCACATGATATTATTGCTGTGCTATTCAGACATACTGGGTTGTGGGAACCAAACACCAGTAGCTGCATTACAAATAGGAATAGACTGTGTGCACTGCTTTCACTGTTACTGCCCTCCAGGGAAGGAAATTATAAGTAGAAATTCAAATTTCTGCAGGTTCCTTCAAAGGGGGTTGGGCAGCAGTATCCCTAAAGAGAGCCATCCCCAGGAGGTGGGTTCCATTCCCTGCAGCTCATACCAGCAATTGTCCTTTTCCAGTCACAGTGGCATTACAGCAGGTTCCTCTGTGCTGGGCTGTTTGCTACAGAGCAGGTTTGGAAAAACACCTGCTATCATTTTAATTCTCCAGTCTTGTTAGTTTCTCTTTAACCAGCTTAAACTCATGATGTGCAGGTAAGGATAAAACCTCAGTCATTGCTATGTACTCAAGAGGGGACAGAAGTTCACATTCTACATATGTGAATAATGTTTACCCACACTGGCATTTTACAGCTTTCATTTTCTTCCTGCTATGCTCAATAAAAAACACTGATTGCCCCCATAATCCTAATGCCATCTTTTCTGATTTGCTTCAGAGCCCTGCTATACACAGCTTGTGCCAGTACTATTTCAGCATCAAATAATGCAAAACTTCACCTGTGAGAATTCAGCCACCTGGTTCTGACCCTTGCAGACTCTCCATCTGGGAGACTCGCTTCTCATACCGTTAGTATTACTTCTCTGCCATCTATTATGGTCCATGACTCTCAGGCCTGTTCAGCTCCTTAGCTAATGCTCACTTGCATCTCCTGTTCAAGCATCTCTGCGTCTGTTGTAGCCTAAAAAGAGGACACACAGAGTAATTATTTTACACCCACTGGTGGCCGGGCAGCCCAAGACAACGTGGTGTGACACTTGCCTGTCTGAAAGCTGTTCACTATGTGATTCAATAAGAAACTGCTTCCTCTACATTGCACCTCACTTCTTTTTTCCTTTCTTTTGAGCAACCAGGATCTGAGATTCTGTCCATTTAGTTAGCAGAAGCCTGGGAATATTGGGCAAAATTAGCATTATTAATGACTAAGGGGAGACATGAAAGGGTTGGCTCAGAGGTGGGGGCGACTGAAAAACATAATAAGCTTTTCCCGAAACCAAGAGTTTCCTTTTCATCACATCTTGGGGAACCACAAGTGAGTTCCCATAGGTTCAAACCATGTTTGTGATTAGCACACCTGCCTCAGTTCCCAGGGAGGGTCTGTGACCATTTTGGGAATGCAAACCAAGACTCCCAGGGCTCATACTGGGCTTCAAGCTTTACTGCACCGACTGTGCTTTCTTCAGCTTCAAATATAGATCAGGTCATGGCACTATGCTTTTATCTGCCTCTGCCAGGGCTCCAGCTGGATGTGAACCTCCAAGTGCTGGAATCTATGTTTGGAGCAGGTCTGTGAGCTCTCAGAGAGGTTCATGACATGGGCACTGCGCTGATACAAACAAATAAAAACCTCTCCATCTCAGATAGATGAATGTGCACCAGGCAGGAAAGGAATTTTTCTTTCCAGTCCAATCTATGCTCTCTAAGCATTAGGAAACACCTGGCAGTGAAACCAAACTTAGCAGCAAAGCAGCCCTAAATCCTCTCATTTCGCTCATCTACAACCAGCCACAAACAATCCTGGGAAAATATTGGCCTGAACTCTCATTTCCAGTCTCTTGCTGAACCACTTGCAAACATATCAGCATGGATTACTCACAGACATTTTCCACAGAGAATCCAGCTTTTTCCAACAAATAAATCAAAGCAACTGGAGTATATTGTGAAAAGAGCTGAGGCTGCAGAGCCTGCAAACATCTCACAGCTTCCTTCAGTAACAGAAATACCAAGTCTGGCAGCAGGTACAGCACCAACTGATCCTACATAGGATCTGTTTTCTGAAAGAGAACAAGGGAATTTGAAGACATTAATACTTGCAAATAATACACAACTGAATATAATAAATTCTGATTAAAAAAAAAAGAACAATCTTACAGCCTGTAGAACTTGATGGAAAGACTATTGATTTTTGCAGGATTCTCAGTGTATAGTTACCATGGCAAAGGCAGTGGCATCAGTTTAGTCGAGATACTGAAGTCGAGTGTCTCCATTTCAACATTTATATCTTTTTATGAGTGCTTGTTTGGCTTAAGCTTTGAGACAATCTGTGATAGCATGACTTTGTGTTTTGTAGCAATTACAGTTCAAACAAGGAATATGGTGACAGATTTTAAAGAGCCAGCAAACAGACATAGTTTGTTTGATCACTTGCTCAAAAACAAAGCAAACATGATCTAAAGCAGCTGCAATAGCATGTACCTTGATAGCCATTGGTATCTCCATACTGTACAAAGAATGGGTCAACCCTGACAACAAGCTATCAAGGGATTCATATTGTTTTACAAACAGAGAATGGAACTGAGACTTTGGTAGGTGCAATTTTTGCTCACCAGTATGTGAGACAGACAAGCAGATTTCACATCCCTGAGGTGAAACATCGCAAAATCAGCCTGACCTGATTATTAATTAGTCATATTACAATACTGCATGTTGACTCCAGATTGTGGTTAGAGGTTAAATAAACTTCAAGCAAAAACAGTCATTGCCCTAAAGAATTAATGGCTGAAAAATGAGGACAGACAAAAGGATAAAATAGATTGATGATGGATTGGAACTTTAGATAGACAGACATGAACTGCTTTAATCCAAGATCATCCAACTGATGAATGCAGAGTGCTGCTCTTTGTGCATAACACATTCCTGATGATGGTGAGATCTCCAGAGGGTAAGACAAGGCTGGTTCTGAGAAGTTCTTTGCAGAAGACCAAAAAGATACAAATACCAAATCTAGTGCTTTCTAAGTGAGCTATTGCAAGATTTCTAAATAAAGTGGCAGCCTGAAAAAATTGGAAACTCTACGTTGCCATTTCACTTGGTCATGCTATGTCCAGGAGGTAAAGCTGTCTGAATCAGAGAAATCATCAAAACAACACTGCTTCCCCTGTGACATTGCCACAAGGAGGGACCAACCCTGCATTTAAAACCCATGGCTGAAACGTGATATTGAGGTGGGGAAAAGCAAAGAAGTTTGGATTATGCAAATGAGAATCTTTCTCACAAGCTTTCATCTACACAGCCAGACACAGCTACTCACTGCTGCTCCTCAGCATCACGTGTAACAGCACCAGGTGGAGTTGCTCTTTGTAAGCTGTAACTCATTTTGCCACCTTACTGGTGACTTGTTATACTTGATGCTTATTCCAGTCATGCGTCCTTGGTATTCAGTTTTTGACTGCTTCCTCCTAAATCCTCTAAGTCATTTAAGCTCTCCTCATGCAGAAACATACCGGCGTCTCCTGTGTTCCTTCCTTTCTTTTGCATTAGGATGGATTCTTACTGTGTCTTCAATACAGTCTGTTTCAGAATCTGACACTCCTTTATCCCCAGGACAATCTTCTGAAAGGCATCCAAATGCATCTACTTAAAAAATGGAAATTGATGTATTTATGAAATGAAGCTTCTGATCAAATTTTCTCTGCTACCAGTGAAGGAGAAACAATGAACCATGAGGATGTTTTAAAGCCTCTCCTGGGAGCCCTGCTTCCCAGCAGTCTGCAGATGAATCAGATTTGTACGTAGATATTTGAAACATTGCAAAAACATCAGAAACAGAGAAAGATTTATTAGAAATATTACATTTTTTTTTGCATCATACATTTCAATAATGTTAATCTTTAAATATTAGCATGTCCGAATCTGGCAATGCCTTGTATATACATTCTAATGTGCTCTTTGTATAAATTAGATCACGATGTAACATCTGTATCCAATAGAGAAAGCTAAAAGTACTTGACTGTTAGAGATGATTATGCCACATGAGAAACTCAAGTCTGGACCAATAATCAATAAAAATATTGTGTCCAGCACCACCCAATGGAACTTGGCACACGTGCAAGTTAAAAATGTTGAGACCATCAGTTGTGAAAAATGTTAACTGTAGTTAAGTTATAAACTTGTTCCTACACAGCATTTGTGGGTGAGTCTAAATGGCACTGGAGTTGATAAAAAACAACGGAGTCTAGCATAGTAGAAGTTATTGCTGGGTTTAAAAATATGTCTTAATGCTCAGTGCCCTGAGTCTTCTTAGGCAAAAGCCCTCTTCTGACAGGAAAATGCATAATCTCATCCCATACGGACTCTGCATGTCATCAGATAGACAAGGTGCAGCTTTGCAGACAGCTGGACCTGTCAGATACTTGCAGATGGAAGCCATAAGCAAAGAAAGATGAGGGAGGTGCAAACAACCTACAGCCAGATGAGCCAATGCACTCTTACTGTCATTGCCAAGGAAGTGAGAGTTAAGGCAGCGAAGCCAAAAGCTGGACTTTGAAGAGCTCTGGGTCAGGAATCAAATAGGGCAGAATCAGTCCTTCTGTCAGCATGCACCTATTTGGTTTGGACAGAAAACTCACAAATACTGGTTGCACATACAGAACAAGAAAAATCATACAGAAAGCCTGAAAAAAAAGAAAACAAAAAAAGAAAAAGAAAAGAAACCTGCCAAAACTCAAGCAGCAGAATGTGTCTCACTGAATGGAAACTGGAGAAGCTGCTTAAGTCAAAAATGAGTCTGCTTAATGTGGCTGCCTTACTGCAGCACAAGAAAAACAGTGAATCTTTGGCTCTCGGACATTCCCATGAATATCACAGTCACAGGAAGGAAAACCTGGCCAATGCAGTGAGCTCTGGGTTCTCTTCCCTCTTCATCTTCCGAGGACCATCCCAGGCTGTGCTCTTAGGAGAAACGTCACTCCAGATGGCAGTCAGTCAGGACTCTCAAGCTGAAATCCTACAGACATCCACATCCTTTGCTGTCCATACAGGCACAGGTATTAATTTTCCATCTTGTTCCCTCTCCTCACATACTGGACTTTCACTCCAGGCAGTTTCATTGCATACTTTCAGAAACAGTTCATCAGCCCTTCTAGAAAACCTTCTTAGAAAGCTGACTCTTGACTCTCTTCTCAACTCCCCTGTACCTTCCCAAATCATGATATACTCTGTACCTTCTATAAATCACCATAAATTCTGGAAGTCAGATCACTTTCTACACATTTAATTCCCTTTCCTCTAGCAGCTGTAGTGAAACAATCACACAACACAATATCCCTCCTTGAACCCCACTGAAATCCCCATCCTTAACATTTTTCTCACGTGCTCAACCAAGATCAGCTTTATGATTTCTTGGAGTCTGACAGGCTACCCCAGGACACAAATAAATGCAGTTGTGTTCTAGAGCTACTGTACATTTAAGGAGCACATGCTAAAGCAATTCCACCTGCCTGCATCAGGGAAAAAATCTATCACTCCTAAGAGGCAAAGTCAAAAAGGATTTTGGTAGCTTAAGCAAGCTGTTGCTGATACCATCCACATCACAGCACCGTGTGTTCCAATTTAGCAAGAATATTCCTATACAGTGTAGCTTATCTTAATAAGTCCTGTAACATTAATGGCAGCTGGAACTTTAATTTTTCAAATTCCAATTTGAGATGCCTTAAAAGAACTCACAGACACTACGTATTTTCTGCAGCACCTTATATGGGACAAACGTAAATTTATATTCAAACTCTTAGGCAGCCTCAAAAAGCAATAGCCTTTTCTGAAGATCTGGGTCAGATGCGGTGCAACGTTCCAAAGGAAAAAACAACCAAACACAACAATGTAGCAGCTTAAACGAACCCATAAACCCAATTGTTCATCTCAGAAAATAACTCGGAAGAGCAGCTCAATCTCCAATTGTCATCACTTCAAAATGAGATGCTTTGCAGGTTTGAAGGCTGGAAAGTAACACAGAGCAAATGGTAAAAAATGATATCTTGTTCTCTACAGACAACTCCTTGTTCCAACTCCCAAGTAAGGGAACGTGTTCTCATGAATATACCATTACTGCGTAGAATTCGAGTTTGGACCGAGCTGTTTTGGGAGGAATGAGAAAATGGGCTGCAAAGAGACAGAAACAGTGCTTTATAAAATTGAGTTAAAAACTGAAAGCCATCAGATCAAGCAGCAGAATGCTTTGTAAAGCTAGTGAGTCTTTGGGAAACAGATTAGAATAAGTGTCAAAACTGTGCTTGAAGCAAATGGAACTGACATATTAGATAACATACGTATGTAGCTTACATCTGGACAGCCACAGAGAACACATGCACTCCCAGTGATCAGAGGGTTAAGATGATCTTTCTTTTCTGGATCATGTGGAGCCCTCTGACTTCAGAATGTTTTCCAGACTCTGGGAATGAAAACAGTTTTTGTCATCTCTCCAAGTGCCTGATCCAAAGCCCACTGAGGAATATGGAATTTTCTGTGTTGACTTCACTATGCTTTGAACTACAGGCTGTTGGTGAGTTGGGATCTCTGCCAATGGATACCTCAAGGGAAAAAAGCCTGCTGCATCCAGAAGGCAAAGGAGTTGTGCAGCGTGGCTCCCTTCCTAAACAAAATCTGCTTAGCAACTATTTTTCTCTTCCATCTTACCATATGACAGGAAACTTATATTTGAGAACATTTAGAGCAATGCATCCCCTGCTCTCTAGGGATGTCAGAGTGTATGCTGAAAATTACTGCAGACTTAATTTAATCTAGAAAGCACTCTCTTGCAAGGAAGGAACTCTGCCCAAGCATTTACAATCACTTTCTCACAGTATAGCACGACACCAGAGAGTTCAAGGGCACTCCAAGCATGGGCCACTTTTTATCACACAGACACTCAAAAGATTAGAACCAGATTTTCCTGAGGGTGATGGATTAGAGTAAGTGTCAAATTGGAACTCAGAGCAAGTGCTGCTTTCCTCCTCCTGTGAAACAGGCATATTCTGTATTCTTCCAGCTTCCTTTCTGTTCAGGGCACTCACTGACCTTGGCTGCTGTCATCTATCCCCTAAATCTTGCTGCTGCTGTGAGAAAACCAAAGTTTGAAATAGCTTGTTTACTAATTAAAAAAAAAAAGAGACAAATAAACAAACACAATTAAGTACTATGGGGAAGCCAGAGGCTGAGATCAGGCACCTGCAGTACCCCAGAAAAATTATGTTTCTTCAGTGAAATCATCTATTTCCATTTCACGAGCTCTTTTCAAGTGCTAAGAGCAGCAAGCGTACACTATTAACTTTTGTAAGAGAAAAATGATCCCTAACTGCCTATGGTTAACATTCCTGAAGCATCAGGTCTGTGTCACAGGGTTAAACACACTAACTAAACAACTCTTTTCTTGCAGCATCATAATCTAAAGCGGCCAGCAGCCTGAGATCCTGTACAGCACATTCTCTAAGACCTGCTCCTAGAACAAACTAAGTAGCCCTTATTGAGTTTGATCCTTTCACCATTGGAGATGACATAAAATTTACCTTCATGGGGTGAAATAAGAGAAACAGTAAATTAAACAGCATATTTCAGACATCTTGTTGATGGTATTGCTAGCTGAAAGGCTCTTCTCTGGCACCTTAAAGATATCCAAGAAACCAAGAGGGGAACGCAGCAACATTCTGCAATTTGCAGAGTAAAACTGGAACTTCTATTGTTACCAATACATTACTGTGCCCTCTAACAGGGTAATGTAACTTCTAAACATTTAACAGTGCCCTGTGGACTACATTTCATCTCAAAGGGCATAAACTGTCTCAAGATTTATGCTTCTACATAGAATTTACTTATTTGTGCTGATTATAAAAGATCAGTGCAGAAAAGAGAAGTTGCTCTACTCAGTTCACAAAACCACGAACTACTGAGATGCCAATATACTGCTTAGAGAGTCACCACCTGGCACCTCGTAAACTAAAGCTAGTAACTTGCATCTGCAATATTCCTATGCTAACAATGCCTGTATAGACAGCTGTGAAACAAGGCTCCATCTTCTTTTAACAGTCAAGCTATAGTAATGAAATTGTTGTAATCAAGCTGTTTTTCTCTGAAATGACACCTGTTTGATCTGAAATGGAGTTCCAGCAAGTAACAGTATCTTCCAGAGTTCTCTCACGAACTGGTGGTGGAACAGAGCATGGTTTCCAAGTTACAAATGATGGTGTTGTTATCCTACTGGATAAGCTACGGCAAAAAAAAACTAGCAGACTGACTGGGTCAGATGTGTGAGAATAACTCAGGTTAAAGTTTGACACACATGCATTTGTCATGGCATCTCATAAAATACACAGAGGGAAGAAAACAAAACATATTTGGGATGAGTTAAATATATTTGGGCAAGAAGAGCATTTTTGTGAGATTTTGTATTAGAATTAATCTCCCAGCTTCCTTTGAGTACCAGCGTAGTCCACACTGATTTAAAACTTCATTTTGTGGCAGGTCGGTAGAGATTAGTTTGTGGAAAACATTGTATAGCACAAGGAATCCTCTTCAGAAACAAAACTGCAGATGAATTTGGTGTGAATATATGGACATGGTTATTTATTTGGTTTTATCCCAGATGTAATCAAAACTATGGAAGAGCTTTCTTTCAAACTAAGAGCATAGGTTGGTTGTGGAAGAGGAGCAAGGGGATTTTTAAAGTGATCGAGTGCATCTGTGGCATTCTTTGTTCTCTTCCCCACTTGTGTCCACCTCTTGCTTTGCATCTCAGGTCTCAAAGTACTTGTAAATCTGGGCGACGTACTGCATCACACTCTGCCAGTCTGGCCGGTCTGTGTACATCATCTCACTGAGTTCCTGCATAGGACATATTGTCAAAATTTAGTCAAGCACCTCCACTGGGAGCATCCCTGGGTCCTCTGAGTAGCTCTTGTTACTGAACACTACTGCTTCCATTCCAGAGCATGTTAAGGCCACATAACTGTATAAAAGCCCATGGGAACAATCTACTGGCTGACTGCAATTGTACAACTCCAGCCAAAGAACAAACTATTTAAACACTGTACATCCTGAAAAGGTCTCTTCCATCTGTAATCAAAGAGTAATTCTCTATGTAATTTCATTTTATTTAAATTACTGCTTCTTTTCATGTCCCTGGTTCTGTAATTTAGCTTATGAACCCATAATATTTCCTCCTTCTTATTAATCTTACCTTTCTTGCCATTAAATTGTTGATTTAAGCAAAGGCTTTTTAAACAGTTTAACAAGAAAATTATTCTTCTGTTTCTTAGAACTCTAAAACAAAAGGAAAGAAAACGATCTGGCAGGCAGATAAAGGGCTCTGCCCATGCAAACAGGAATCATCTCTCAAATAAGCTTCTGAGAGGAAGACATAATCAATACTCTCAATTTTAATACCAGATGACCCCCAGAAGTTACTTTAAACTGTATTAATTCAACAACACTACAGATTTGGTCTGCTGGGACTTCTCAAAACAACGCAGACTTTCAGAGATGGTGCTGCACATTCTCTAGCACACTATGAGCATTTTCAGTGCAAGTTGACTGACCAGCCACACGACAACAAAAGCTTTGGAATGATGTAGGCAGCAATTCTTCCCTTGCTAAAAGTAGATTACTCACCAAGCTGGGTTTGATGCCCACACTTTCGGCAGCTTGAAATGCTAACAGCAGATTTCTCTTCTGTAAGAATAAAACAAAGGTTCAAAAGGATTATCAGTGTATGATTCTGGAATTCTACTTTGTGTCTGGGGCAAACAATAAGTTTAAATAAGAAGGGACAAACATCTGAGTACTGAAAAACACCAGGTTTGGTATTTTCACAGGCAAAGTAGCTAGATCAGGTCCCAGGTAAAAAAAAAAAAAGCTGCAGTCTATCTGCTGAGTTCTTAAATGACATTTGCCTTTTACTGCTCCTCCCACCTTTTTATTTTGTGTGAATTAATACCAAGATCTTAGAGCACTGTGTCTCCATCAAAATGGATAATATTCCCTGTGCATTCAGCAGATTTTTTAGGATTAAGTACAACAGAACTTACTTTATCCTGGCTGTTGAGCTCTTGGTAAGGAATATGTGCAGGCAAATACGTGTGCAGCAGAGCACAGAAGGCCAGCCCATCACTCCAGCTGCTGCTGAAGTTGGTAATGTCAATATTCTGTAAGAGGAAACAAACCATTCCTTAACAGTGCCACATTGATCACTTGAACAGGGAGGCTGGACCAGGTGACCTCCAGATGTTCCTTTCAACCTCAACCATTCTGTGATTCTGTGTATTTGACCTCGTGCTGCCTTCACAGAGATACTTTAAGAGAATGTGTGATCAACAAGATTCAGTTCCTTATCGAAAGCCCTATCAGACTGGTAATAACATAACCTAGTTCTCAAGCCCTAAAGAAAGAATGTGCTTATTTGTATGAGAGAAAGGCTCCAAATTGGCAACACCAGCAGCTGAGTGGGCAGTTTTCCAGGAGCTGGGCAGATGTGCTTAATTTGCAGAGTTGTTTGCATGAAGGCATGTCTGCATTCTTATATTCTCTGTCAATGCAGCAGCTTTCATTTGCACGTCACAGAGAACTGAGCAAAAGGTAGATAAAGAACGGGAAGTTAGAGATACAGAATTTGATGTGACCTTTCTAACATTCTTGTGTGCACTGATGGAGCCATATCAGTGTGCCCAGGAATCCTCAAGGCTACGTTTTATTGCTGTAGTTCCAACAAGAAGCTAAACATACAATAGGGATAGTGGTTAGAAAAGTTCCAAATGTTCAAAGCATGGAAGGCTCCAGGACACGACAGTGCTGCACCATCTCTCACACCGTGACAGGTGCTCAGACACCCTGAAATCCCCTTTTAGCCAGATCTTCAGTGCACCGAACGCCAGCTCTCACTCTCTGCTACTTAACTTTATTTATTTAGCTGTTTTCCATCCTCTTTCAAGATTCCCCTCGGAACAGATCTTTTACTGCATTTCTCATACAAAACCTCACGCAGGAGCACTAAAACCCAGCTGGTAAGTATTTCATCATGTGCTTTTCACTTACGCCTCATTGATTAGTTGTCCAACCTGGACTTTGTCCAGTCAGGATTTCAGATTAGAAATTAATGTCTACAATAAAATATGATTAAAACTGAAAGAGTTCAGAATATTTCAGGTTAAAATACTCTGGCAGCAATAAATCTACAAACTTAATGAACTGAGCAAGCAGGTTATCATCAGCAGTCATTACTGTACTAGCCACCAGATTGCATTTTGGGCTAAGCACATCTGTCAATGGAGATAAAAGAGACATAGTAGCTGAATACCATTGCAAAAAAGAAATATTTTACTCTGAGAACTATCCTGGCATTGCCTAAGCCATAAAGTTGCAACAGGAAGTGAAGTTTCTGATGGAAAAAGCACATATTATTTATCAATCTGCAGTTAGTGGGAAAGGATTGACCTCCAAATTACCAAAGTGTTAAATTTACTGAGGCCAGTACATGTTATCAGCAAACAGCCTATCACCACGATAGGCCACAAGAGTATGACATGAGAATCTTTCCATGCCCAATAGAATGGCAAAGCAGGAGCACAGAAAGACCTGAGTGTAAGGTTTGCTGGGGCAGTGGTAGAGAACTGCTAACAGCATAAGGGTAATCCAGACAAAGCTATTTCCAGGGTAGCAGCCAGGTTTCTTGTCAGAGAAAACACTCCACTCACTTCAAAAGAAAGTTCATATGTGCAGTGGGAACAATAAAAGACTGATCTAGAAGCACACAGGGAGCTTGGTTGTCTGAAAGTACTCAGCATGATTCATTTCTGTGTATCTTAGTTACCTGACATAAGGCAAAGCAAAAAAAAAAATAATAATAAAGAAATAAAAACAAGTCCAGGCAATGTTATTTAGAGATCATATGTATTCTCTATAGCACAAGTGACATGCCAAGTCCAAAAGGCACCGAACACCTGCAAGTCATTAACATCAGCCCCCCACTCCAGGACCAGGACCTTTGCTTGCAGATAACAGAGCACTGCGAGAGCCACCTAAGGACCCACAGGGAAATCTGTGTGATCTCTTCTCACTAAAAACAATTCCTTGTTTGTCTGAGGAAAAAACAACCACCCCATCAGATTTCGCTGGATCTTTGAGTCCTCAGCAAAAAGCAACAATGACATCACACGTTCCTCATTGCAGCCTCAGTATGTTAAATACTGACCCAAGATATTCCCGCCATGCAGATCCTGTGCCTGCAGCAATGGCTCTCTGAGTCATAATTTTCTCTTTAAGACCCAGAATTATGAATTATAAACATGAATCAGCTTGAAGCTAAACTGGAACTCTGCGGAAGGAAGCCTGCAATAAATACATCCTTATCATCTCTCTTCCCACCCACCCCCAGCAAACAAGTTGCCCTCCTGCCTCTCAGAACAGCAGACCTGGAATGCACCAGAGTGGCTAATCACTGAATATCAGTCCAAAGAAAATATAAGCTTCAGTACTGAAGACAGAACTATTTAAACGTATTGAATAAGTCAAAGAGAAATGCCTGTTTTTAAGAGCAGCTCCCCCTTAATCAGTTCAGCTTTCTGGAATTCTTCCTCCCTATCAATAATCAAAGACCTGCATCACATTCACAAACCAGAAGTCTTAACATATGGTGCTTTTAAGTCATTATATTGAGACTATATATTTGCCTGGACAAAATCCTCCCTTCCATAGGCTACATATCTCAGCAAATCCTGATGCTGACTTTCCAATACAAAATCTGATCAAGGAACCTTGAAAGGCAACTCCCAAGGACCACCTCCACTCATCCATCTTCAAGCACAGCCGTGTGAAACTGCAAATCTAATTTGGATTCGTTTCACCCTAACAGGGTGATGGGGGACAAGTTAGTGGGCTTCAGCCAAAGTGGTTCTACCAAAGGAAGCACATAAACTCCAAGCCCTGAGTAGGTGAGTACTAAACATTGCCTAAGCAGTAATACAAGAAGGGCTCCCCATAGCATGACCTAATCTGAGCAAACAGAATTCTCTAGTTCATCTGAAATGCTCCAAATATATGAAACAGCTGGGGAGCTCACTGGAAATACAGGTGAATTGGAAACACGGTCAGGTCCAGTTAACATGGATGGAAGGCATGAATGCCTAAAATTGAAGACTGCCAGGATTCTTCTGTAATTACAGGATGCACCCAGATGGCTTGGACAATTGCACACAATTATTTCAAATGAGTGGCTGCAAATCTGAAGTGATTTACCTTTCACATTTAAAATGTCAATCTATTACCAGGAAACTTCTTGCATTCTCTTACAAATCTTTCACTCATAAATGGAATATACAAAATAATACCTCTTGATTAAAAAAAATAAAATCTATCGAGAGTAACTTGTGGAACAGCAATACTATTTATTGTATTATTTTGCTAGCCAAGATTGGAAGGGAAACCAAACTACCTTCTGTCCTCCAGGCTATATTAATATCCCCAGTTCAAATGGTTTGGGCAGCTGCAGTCTCAGTGAGGATTGTTTTAACCTCTTTGAAACTCAGTGTTTCCATCCTCCCCCCCCTTCTGTACTTCTAACACTTCTGTAAGACATGTCAGCAAGTCGTGCACCTTACTGCTGATTATACGTACGAAACAATGTAAGGAAGTGGCGTCAGCTCTTTAAGAGCTATCTCATTTAGTGTGTTTGAAAAAGTTTGTGACTTTTGTTTTCCTCAGGAGCACCCAGCTCTCTTACATTGGATGACTAGAATAGCCACAGGGAGAAAGGATGATTAAAAAGCAGAAAATCAACAAGCTTATCGTCATGCACTGAGCACAGATTTTTTCTTAGCTCCCAATCTCTGCAAGTCTTTCTAAAACAAGATTTCTAAGAATACAGCAGAAAGTCAGGAGTGTCTCATGTTCTTCATTACCTTTCCAGATTGGATCAAACTGGCAAGAATAGGTAACAGTGCTCTCTAAAGCTCTGCACCATCTAATAATCAGACATAAGTTGTCTTAGAGATACCATTCCGAGTAGATTGTGAAGGCATTATAAAATAATCTGTGCATTCTTCAAGCTCGGCTCTTTTTTCATGAAGTACTGAGGAGGTCTGTGACCTCTACAAGGCAGCTTCACTCTGTCGTTCTGGTTGTAGATGTGCTGCTGCTGTAACTGAAGTTGTCATAAGAATAAAAGCAAAAGTGGCACCAAATGGGAGATGCTTACAGTAATAGGTGATAACATAACTGTGTAACCACCCGCTTTCTTGGCTTGCAAAGTGAAATACAGCTGCAACTGACATGGATATCATCACTGTAATTGTAAATACAAATAACCACCTTAACGAGCCAAGCAGCATCCGTTCCTGCCTGTTGGCTGTATTGCTCCCAGCACTGCGTGGACCGGTAAACATTTCACTATGATTTGTTTTTAGGTTTCCTTTTCATTAGAATGTATTAAGATCAACTTCTTAGAAAGAAAGTAAATTCTGGTAAATCAGGAAAAAGCTTGAGACACATTGCTGGCACAGCACACATTACACACAATGCATGTGAACTTTTCCTAGCAAATAACACAAGCAGCTTTGAATACCAATTACCCTATGAAAACATTCTCATTACTAAGGTCACCTACTTCAAAGAACTCTCTGGAGGCCAGTAAAGTAACAGGATTTTGTACGTCTTCCTCATTCTGGGACTTAACTGTCTCTTTGCACCCCAGCTTTGGGAGAGGAGAGCAGAGAGAGAGAGTTAGCTGCGTCTGGAGAGGCAGAGGTGGATTACACAGCAAGGCCAGGAAGCAATTAGTTTTTCTCATTCACCTCTTCTCTGTTCTTCAGTATAAATTATATTTTTAATGCTCACCTGCTGAAAGCCAATTCTTTCCTGCTAACAAAGCTAACACTTGCATCATTTTTCTCACATCTCACATAAAGGACACCACACAGCTGCAAGCTGCAGAGACGAAACAGGCCGGGCTGTGTTCTTTCATTGCCAAGGCTGCAAGAGTGAAGATGCAGCAGCACAGCTCTGATGGCCACACAGACATTCTGGGGAGGAAAGGAGGGAGCTGGGGAGGTACGCACTGCCCTCTGAGTCCAAGGCAGCAGCTTAGCTACTTCCTGCCAGCAGCCTGGCACAGAATTGCTAACGAGCACAGTGACGGCCCCCACAGTTATTGCTA